CGCGACCGTGGTCAACCACGAACTCGCCGCGGTGGCGAGGAAGGAGGCCTCGGCGGTCCAGCATGGGTTTGCACGCGGCAGGACGTTCATCCCGAACATCATCAAGCTGGACCTGACGGCGCGCACCTTCAGCGCGCTCAGTGAGATGAAGGGCGGGCATCCCGCGCTGATCACGTTCGACGTGAAGGCGGCGTTCCCCAGCGTCAGCCGCCGCTGGATGATGCTGGCCCTGGACAAGTGCGGCCTTTGCGAGTCCGTGAGGACCCTGATCGCCGCCATGTACGACAAGCAGGTGGCGTGGCTGAGGGTGGGCGAGGACCTGCTGGAGGCCTTCACGGTCACGGCGGGAGTGGCGCAAGGATGCCCGATGTCGGGCTCGCTCTGGGCATTGCTCTTCTCGCCCTTCCTGGAGCACATGGCCTACGTCCTGGACATGCCGTGGCGGTGGGAGTCCTGGAAGCCCGAGCAGCCCATCGTGCAGCGCAAGGGCGATGTGGAGGGCTGCGCGGACGACGTGGGGATGGTGCTCCGCGACCTGGCCCTGCTGACGCTGATCGGCCCGATCTTCCTGGCGATGCAGACGCTGGCATGCCTGGAGCTCAACCTGTCCAAGTGCTACCTGGTACCGCTCTGGGCGCCGATCACGGAGGCGCTCGTGATCTTCGTGAAGAGCGTGCTCGAGGCGAGCGCCGCGGGCTGGTCAGGCTTCTCGGTCGCCTCCATGACGAAGTACTTGGGCTGCTGGCTGGGGCCAGGTGCCGACCTCGCCAGACAGTGGCACGACCCTGCGGCCAAGTACGCGGCGAGGACGCGGGCGCTGGGCGCCAGTGCCCTCTCCAACGACGCGGTGGTCCAGGCGCACAACGGGCTGGCGATCCCGTGCCTGCTCTACGTGGCCATGCTGTTCCCGATCCCCGACACGCTCGTGGACAAGGAGCTGGACTTGCTGCACGTGCTGCTGCGCGTGCCGCCGAAGTCGTTCAGGAAGGATTGCCTCTTGTCCCTGGGCACCTCCCTGGGCGTCACGGCGCCGCTCTCCCTCTTCGCATCGGCGACGGCTGCGAGGATGAGGGCGGCGATCAAGCTGCCGAGGGACTGGCTCGACCTCCTCGAGGGCGTCGAGAGCTTCTTCATGGATGTGCAGGGCGAGGCGCTGATCAGGTTGGCGGACTTGCCGACGGGCCTCTTCGCGCCGGCGTGGTGGCGAGACCGCCGCGGACCCGCGCATCACCTCAGGGACGCCTTGGAGTGCCGCACTCCGACCAGCAGGCCCAGGAACCGTCATCGAGTGGAAGCCTGCCTGCGGTCCGCGAAGAGGCGGACGCTGGCAGCGGAGGCGGCTTGGCTGGCTCAGGCCCATCGTGAGAGGAGGAAAAAGCGGTTCTCCCTCCAATCCACCCTCCGCTCCATCCTGTCGTCCCTCCTCTTCCTAGATTCCTTTCCCGTCACCTTCAGGAAGAGGCTTTGTGCGTGGCAGGTCCGTGCGCCCGCCACCCGAGTGTTGGCGCAGAGATGGGAGGCGCTGAAGAGCGTCCTCCGAAATAAAGGGAGGGGGGTGAGGTGGGCGGCGATTAAAGTCATGTGTGGAGCGTGGCCTACAGTGGCCAGAATGCATGTCACGAGCACCCGTGCGGCTCCCTGTAAATTTGGCTGTGAGAATGGAGCTGACACGATGTCCCATTATCTGAGGTGTCGGCACCTGTGGTGGGCTGCCTGTTACCCTCGGGAATTTTGTTCGAGTTCTGTTTTAATGAAGCTTTGTCTTGGGTCCCCCCGTGACCACGCCTCGACCCCCGATGATTCGCTCGATCGGTCGGTCTTGAGGCTTAGCCTGACGCACCAGTTGCACGCAATCATTTCGGCGCATCCTGGTTCTGGGCCACAGCACTTACTTCGTTGCCTGGAAGCCGCACGTGCACGCACGGGTAGGTAGGCGACTCTTCCTCTGGAGCGACGTTCGCTCCTCCTCCTCCTCCTCCTCTTCCTCCTCCCCCTCCTTCCTCTGCCTCCTTCTCCTCCTCGTCCTTCTTCTTTTTTTTTGCTGGCGGACGCTGCCTCACCACGGTCCTGGCGGCGGGGCTTGAGGAGGACCCAGCCATCAAGCTGCGCATCCAGTTGGTAGACTCGTGGCTGGAGCTCTGGGAGACGGCGCCTGAGGTCCATGCGAGGATCCATAGAGTCTGGCCTGCCATCCGCGGCGCGCATTCTGAGCGCCGGCGCAGCCCGGCGCTGGCGGCGCGTGCGTGGCCCTGTCAGCGCACTCGTGGCAACGCTCATGGACGTGGGCTGGGATCCGCGCACTGCTGGCACGTGGAGCAGGCCAGAGGTGGACGGCACGATCACGGAGTGGCACCTGGTGGAGTCGAGCTCGGAGGCCTTTGGGAGCTTCATCGATCGGCAGCCCATCCTGCACGACCTCCGCGAGGACATCATGCGCCAGCTGTGGAAGCAGGCGGCGGCCCACGAGGACGGCGGCAACTTGGGGAGCGGCGCGGACATGCCGAACCACCTCACCACCCCCAGGTTCGATGAAGAGCGATTGGCTCAGGAAACCTTGTTTTTTGGGGTAGGTGAGCTGGGTGACTATCAGAGGGACGGGGTTTTGACGCTGTTTGGGGACGGGTCGG